TTAATACAATATTCTTCAGATATTGTAGTTTCAGTAAAAAAAATAAAAAAAAAATGGAAAAAAAAGTTGTCAAACCTTACCCCCCCCTTAAATAATTATTCTAAAATAAAAAATTATACAATAGGTATATATTGTATTGAGGAAGCTAAATGATCATGAAATGATCAACTTGTTTATTTTTAGTTCGATAAATATCGTTTTTAACAAATATAAATTTTGTGAATATTTTTTCTAAAATAAATTTAAAATTTCTTAAACAAAATTTGATTTATAACATTTTTTTTCTACTTAAAACTTGTACTTTGTTTATAAATAAAAAATAATTGCAATTGAAAAACAGAAAAATGTGCAAAATGTTTTCTACTTCCTAATTTTTATTTTCTAAAATTAAAAAAATTTTTTTTTAGAAAGAAGGAAAAATTAGCTTTATAATTTCGATTTGTCAAACAATTAAATTTTTCTTATTAAAAAAAGTAAAATATTTTGCAGGATTTACATTTGCTAATTACCTAAAAAATGTGTGTTACAGAATGCTAATTTTTTTATAATTAACAAAGGAAATAATGAATTATAACATTAATAATTTTTTTAGATTCATAATAATATTTTTAAATTATTTGAAAAATAAGAATGATATTATTAAATTAAAAAAATAGTATAAAATAAAGAAGTATAATATTATACAATTATTATAGTTAAAATTAATGTCATTTTGTATTTAGGGGTTTATCAGGTTGCTGATTACGAATCTAACATCAAATTCAAAGATTGAAAATGACACGAATCCAAAATGGCAGACGATTCTTTTGAAATTCCCTACTTCGCTGATTATGAATCTGGCGTCAGATTTTAAAAATTCAAAATGGCGGATCCAATATGGCGGACGAAAATTTAAAAAGGAATTGAATTTTGTTGAAATTTGTTACTATCGATGATTTTTGCGGTGGAAATACTAAACTTTTGGGTTCTAGAGAAAAACAATATTACAATATAAATTTCATAATGATATCGTAATAAAAAAAATATTTGAAATGTGCACTTCATTTGAAATCGAATGAAGCGTGTCTGATGAATTCCAAGTTTGAAAACTGTAATTCACTTAACAATGTACTTCTCGAATGAGTGGTTTCGCTTGAAGATTGGCTCCCAAGAAAGAAAATACTTGAAGGTAGAGCAAAAGTACCTGTAGAAAAAGACAGTCATCAAATTGTAGCAAACTAATGATTGGTGTAGTGTTGGTTCGTCCTCGAGGTGGGCGGTAAGGATCAGTAGAATTGCAATTCAACATGCCATATAAAGAAAAAACCAACATGTACAACTAACGCCTGATAAAATCGTGTCCGAAAAAAATTGACTCTCACTAACTACTTTCGCCTTACAAAATGCAATAATTTCAAATTTTAAATTCCAGATACTTTATTTTTTTTAATAAAAATTTGTATCCCTCTCAAAAAAAAAGGAAATCTTATTACTTAATTCTTACAAAACGCATTTTATGACATAATTACATTGCTTATCTTATCAACACGTATCATAAAATTCGTCACCAAATCGTAATAATCCAAACAATTAAACTGCAAGAATTTAGTGAATTAAATTCTTGTAGTATAAGAAAAAAATAATTTTTTTTATTTTTCTTTGAAAAAATGTATTTTTTAAATTTTATTATTTTTCTTTAGACGGAATTCAAAGTAGTAGGAAATTATTTGGAAAAGTAATAAAATGTTTTGAAAGTCGCATATCAATGTTGAAACTGATTACTATTATTAGAGTGTCATCAAGTGTAAGTATCGAACGGTGATCTGTACGCAATTCATGCGAGAGTTATATCAGACCATCGGAGATAGGAAGCGACCCTGGACCGCCCAACTGTGATCTATTGCATAATTGGGTGTTCTGCTCTGTGGATTGTTATGATGGTGTATGCCAGGTATACCATCATGGACCTGCCAGCAGAATGCTACAATCATGTTTATAAAATTCAAACGAAATTGTGTAATTCCTGCTCGTACGTCAGGAGAAATAATTTCAACTTAATGGAAGAGGGAAATATTTTCAGGAGTTTTTGATAGATTACTAGAACCAAAAGGGCGAGCGTTGCGCGCCCACTCCTAGTCCATTGAGACAAAATAAAACCTTAATATAACCTTAATTTAATAAAAACATATGCTTATATTATAAAAATTATTTTTCTGTAAATAAGATTGTTTAAAAGTTTTTGAAATTTTTTAAATCTAAGTTTAACGACTTGATTGCATTTTCTGAAAAAAAGAAAAGAAAAGAATTTCATTATTTGTGAAATGTAAGTGAATTCTTGTAAAATGATTAAATTTTTCGAGGAATATATTTTAAATATTGTATAAAAAATAATTGAAATCCTATAAAAAACTTTATTTTTTATGAAATTAATTGAATTCTCAAAACGAATTTTATTACATTTATTTTAAATAATCAAATACATGTGAAAAATATTATTAATTGTAAAAATAATTGAGTTCTGGCAAAGGGTCCGTACACATAATACGTCACGCGGCTAGGGGGAGGGAGGGGATCTGAGAATTGTGACTAAGTATGACATGGGGGCAGGCGCGGATTCAGAAGCAAATTTGGGGGGGGGGCGATTCGTAAATTAAAACCTTAGAGTAATGAAGGCACAGATATATTAATACCTAACATTACACTGTGAGTAAGTGTGTTTGGGGGGGGGCGATCGACCCTTTCGATCCGCGCCTGCATGGGGGAGGGGGTGGGGTGAACTCATGTGTTACGTCACAATCTTTTAAATTCAAAGATTATAAGAAATTATATGTGACAATGTCACTTTTTCTAAATAAAACAAGTTAAAAATGCTTTAAACTATTTAATATCTATTATGTACCTGTTTAACATATTGGCATATTATTTATAATGTGATAAATAATATATTCTCTTAATTTGAATCAGTTAAAAATCCTGGTTTTAACTGACAATCAGCAGTGACTGACTTTTTGCTTCTGAATCAGTTAAAAATAATTGAAAAATTGAGCGGCCGGATCGTAGAAGGGCACGTAAATTTTTCTTGAGCGAAATCTAAGTCCCCTGAACACTCAAAATTCAACTTCTGAATTTAAATATTTTAAATACACATCCTTATAGAAAATTTCATTCCGCATCTTTTTTTCTTATGAAATTTTTTTCTATCTATTACCGTTTTCGAAATATTTTGGAAAAACTGTTTTTTTGAAAACTGTAAATTTAATGAACATTTTTCACTTCAACTCGCGATATTTCAGACAATTTTAAAAACTTTTCAATGAAACAAAAATGAAAATACGTCTTAAGGTATTCTACGAATGATAAAAAAAGAAAAAAGTGGTTTTCTTTATAAACAAAATTGTTATTAATTTTTTTCTTTATTAATGTAAAAATCACGAACTACAATCTTCATGGCTCTCGTTTAACGGGCGAATTTTGAGTAACAGAGAACTTTCAGTGAGAAAGTTGTTCGGGGAAAAAATGGACGCCATTTTCATATGGTCGAACCGGGAACAAATGAGTGACTTTACTCCCTGTCGTCAGCTATCTAAAAGCGCCATTTTTGTGCATGTGGGATAAAAATGACATTTTTAAAAAATGTCATTCCGTATGTGTATGTGTGAGTAAACTCATCACATTTTCATAAATATCTCGAAATCATGAAGAGCTTTTGGGTTGAATTTTTTTTTAAATTGTAGATCTCACCTGCGGACATAAAATGAGAGTACTTTCTGATATATTAATAAAGTTTAACTAAATTTTTTTTGGATTTTTAATTTTGCAAAAAAACGTTTTTTGCCCATAACTTTAAAAAAATGTTAGGACACCTATACATGTTTTTCCATAACTTTGTAGTTTTTAGACGCATCTTTTGAGCTTTAATTGAACATTTTTCGTCCATATTAACCGGAGTTATTAAACTTTTAAAAATCAAAAATTTTGGAAATTAAGACTTTTTTGAAAATTTTGTTGAAAAACGTAGAATTAACTTTAAAATTATCGTTATTAACTTGTAGAGCATTAAAAAATGCTTCGATTGACCTATTTTTGAACCTAATTCGATAATAAAAATTTCGAAATTATTGGTATTTTAAAAACCAAAAATTGTGAAAAATAACATTTTCTCAACTTTTTTGTTTGAAAATTTTTATTTAACTATTAAATTATTGTAACTATCTTGTAGGGTATTTAAAAATACATTGATTGACTCAAAATTCAATCACTTTTACCATATTTATAAAAAGTTATTCATATATTTCTATTATTTTTATCTCCATGAGGAAGTAAAGTGTTCATGAAATGAGCACCAAAATTATACAAAAAAATATACAACTTGGCAGCGGTTTTTTTAAGTTTACCGTATTTTTTTAATTTTTTTATATTTTCTTAATTTTTCCGTATTTTTTTAATTTTTCCGAATTTTTTCGTATTTTTTGTATTTTTTAAATTTTTCTGTATTTTTCCGTATTTTTTTAATTTTTCTGAATTTTTTCGTATTTTTTGTATTTTTTAAATTTATATGCGTATTTTTCTGTATTTTTAAAATTTTTCTGTATTTTTTTTAATTTTTGGGTATTTTTTTAATTTTTCCGTATTTTTTGTACTTTTGCGTATTTTTCTTAATTTTTTTAATTTTTCCGTATTTTTCAGTATTTTTTGTATTTTTCCGTATTTTTTATATTTTTGCGTATTTTTTAATTTTTGCGTATTTTTCAGTATTTTTTGTATTTTTGATACTATATTGATACTATAAAATAAAATATTTGAGTGGGGAAACTGCATGTGAAATGTCCGTAGATTTTTTTATTTTTGCTTCGTCATAGAGGAAGTATTGTAATATACCAAAATTTTTCGAGTTCGATTTTTTGATATATCTTTATGTTATTTGACCTCAGGAGCCCAAAAATGACATTTTTAAAAAATGTCATTCCGTGTGTGTGTGCGTGTGTTTGTAAACATTACATTTTCATAAATATTTCGAGATCATGAAGAGCTTTAGGAATGAATTTTATTTAAATGGTAGGTTTCACGTGCGGACATAAAAAAATTGTCGAATAACCTTCGTAGGTGTAATCCACTTCGTAGTTGCCTCGTGTGCAATCTGATAAATTGCAAGCACCTATCAATCATATTCTTTCATTCAAAAGTAAGTCTCAAAAAAGTATCTTATGAATGTAAATCTTACAAACGTATATCTTATTACGAAAGTTATTATTCCTTATCAAATTGTTTGTTACGAATCTTCTCTAAATCCAAAGTTTAATAAAACTTTTTCCTCATTTATATTGTATGTCAACACGACCATGAATTTATAAAGGAAAAAATCCCTCAGCAGTAACTTTAGAATTTGGAAAAGAAAATGGATCTAATCCATATTCTCGCCTCCGTAACATTTATTCTACTCCTCATCTTCATCTATCTATCATGGCAGTATACTTATTTTCAAAGAAGAGGAATACCAACAGCCAAGGGTATTATTCCACCATTCGGTCACATGCTACCAATTATTGTTATCCACAAAACCCTAGGAACCTTGTGCGAAAAATTCTACAATGAAACCAAAGGTTACAGTATGTGCGGATTCTATCATCTCTGGACACCAATACTTCTAATCCGTGAACCTGAACTAGTGAAAAATGTTCTACAAACAAATTTCTCCTCCTTCAGTGAAAATCCCTTTGATATTAGTTCTGTAAAATGTGATCAACTTTTGAAATCGCATCCTTTCTTCACAAAGGGGGACGAGTGGAAAAAATCACGAGCACCAGTGACAAATAGTTTATCCGCCATGAAACTAAAGTTAATGATGCCTGTAATTCAAAGAATAGTTTCCAGAATGACGGAATATTTGCAGTATCAATGCGGAAAGGAGGTGGATCTAAAGGTACTGTGCAATAAATTTACCGGTGAATTTTCAGCAATTGAAAGTGGTATTCAGACTAACAATTTTAAGAATACTGATGAAATTGGATACAATCAGATGATTGACATTTTTTTCAAGACACCAACTTTTGGTAATGGAGTTAGACTAATGATTTTTTTTATTCTACCCGCTTTGGGATCATTTTTGAATTATGGTTTGACACCCAAGGTAGTTGATCAATATTTCCGAGAGATTGGCACTAAAGTTGTCAATAATCGAAGAAAGGAAAAAGGGAATTACAACGACTACATACAGTACGTTATGGATTATCAAAAATTACACCATAATATCGAAAACGAAGAAGTACTCGCAGCAGCCCATATGTTATCGTTCGCTTTCGATGTTTACGAAATAGTGGCAGTGACAACTAGTTTTCTAATTATGGACCTGGCAAGACGACCGGAAATTCAGAACAAAGTGCGCGAGGAAATTATCACGATACTCGATAAGTACAACGGTGAATTGACCTACGATGCTCTTAAGGAAATGCCATTTTTCGATAAAGTCCTCAACGAATCACAGAGAATGAATCATCTTTTGGGAATCACTATGAAAATTTGCACCAAACGGACGAAACTTGAGGGAACGGATGGTTTATCATGTGTTATTGAACCAGGACAAAAGGTCGCAGTTTCCATCTATGGTCTTCAAATGGATCCAAAATATTGGAACGAACCGGAAATTTTTGATCCCGAACGTTTTAATAATGACGAGAAAAATACTAGGCACAAGTTTACTTTTCTTCCGTTTGGTGAAGGACCGCGTATGTGCGTCGGAATGCGGATAGGAATAATTTTAGTAAAACTAGCAGTCGCCGGTATTTTAAAAGATTTTTCCGTTGAACCTTCAAAGAAAATGGTTTTTCCAATGACAAAGGATGAGACGAATTTTCTAAACTTTCCGCTAGGTGGTTTTTGGGTCAAGATTCGACCTTTAAAATCCGGTGCTTGTTCAGAATAATTATAAATAAATGTCAGTACACGGGGCAATTAGTACCAGTGCGGGGTAATAACAGGAATAAAAATTTAATTTTCCTTTTCCCTCACTTTTCCCTGATTTCCAAAAAAATCTTAGGCGCTTTTTTCTAAAGAATAGTTTGCGACTCACTCTAAAGATTAAATAAATCAGTTTTAAAAATGAATACTCAAAAAAATATTTATTAATACATTTATTTATGAATTATTTTAAATGTAAAATTATTCGAAACCATAAATAATTTTAGAATTAAATATCCTTAGAAGGCTTTAAAAGTATTAAAACACTCTTTACGATCAATAACGGCGTTTTTTAAATTTTTTATAGCAAATCCTGTTTTTAGAATCTCACAGTACCTATTAGGATCTCTTTTGGGGGCGTGGCTTAATAATTTGACCTACTCTCAGTAGTACCATTTTTCGACACCCGGTTAAAAAGCTACTCTGGTTTGTGGAAGCTGGACAAGTTTAAACAAAACGACCTACTGTCAAAGGTTACAAAAATTAAGAGATAAAGAAATCAAAAGATCCCAATATTTCAAAAGTTTTACAAAAACAATTAAGTAAAAACAATTTACATTATATTCCTAAAGACTGCTAGTCCTTTAAAAAACGTATAAACAATATAAGATTCATTCCAGATTGAATTTTTCAATTTTCTCTTTAGACATAATACAAAAATCTTTAATAATATAGACATAATATATAAAAACTTTAACTGAAATTAATTTTTAAATCAATTTTTATGAGAAAATAACTTATTGAATAATTGAATGTTTCTCAAAATTAAATTCTCATACAGAAATTCTGTGATGAATTTTAATATTTATGAAAATAATTGAATACCTAAAAGGAATTTTATAATCTATGAAAATAATTGAATCCCTAAAAAGAATCTTAATTGTTTATGAAAAAATTTGAGTTATTGCGAAGAATCCCTGGCGGGTAGGTGAAACTGGACTGTGACCGAGTTCAGTCACGATTCGGTCACGACCCACGACTCGGTCAGAGGTGGCAAATATAAAGAAAAACGCTAAAATAATTTTAAAAAACGATTGAAATAAATAAATTAATAATCCTAGATTCCATTTATACATAATTTGAGATTAATACTTAATTATTTATTAAGATACACCGAAAAAAATGCCTAGGACCCGTATACCAGGAATTGACTAGGTTTCCTAGTTACGAGAGAAGCCAACTATAGAATCCTAGTCAAAGTAATAAAATTCAAGCATAGTTAAAGTGACCAGGAAAATTAGTCGATGCAATCAGGAAAAAATAGTCAAAATGACTAGGATAATAATATTAGATTTACACTGTGTATCATAATTATTTGAAATTCTTAATCAAATTCTTATTATCCAATAAAAGAAAAAAAGTAAATATAATTAAAAAAAATAATTAATTATTTTATTAAACATATTTATATTTGACTTTGTATTTATATACCTTAGAATTAATCTAAACTTATGAAATAAATATTTGACGCAGGGGGGACGCGAGCACCTGAACATAACGAATACGCACTTTGAAACCCGGAACGATAACCACTACACTAAACAAGACTTGGTATTTCAATTTTTTAATAGACACTAGATTTTCGAGTCAAAATACAATACTTAATCAGATGATGTTTTATACATTTCGAGTACACAATTTTATACACTTGTCAAAAACTATTTATTTTTAATTATTTATGCCATTTAAATGGAAATAAATTTAAATACACAAATTATTGCAAAGGTAAATTTTCAAACACACTGCGCGATTAAAATAGTAAAAATGTTGTCACCACGTGCGTAAAAATTTCGACGATTTATATTGAAACCTAACCAAAAAAAATCTGAAAGAATTGACTAATATAATTAAATAGTTTACTTTCCAAAACATGGACTATCTATATTTCCAGAGGTTCCGAGAAACCAGCAATTTTGATGTATGTAAGAACTCCATTTTATGTACAAAAAATAGACGCGAGTAATGATAAAAAATCGTTTTACGATATCACGATAAATGACACGAAAGATATAAAGGTAAACACTGTTAGAACAGAAGCAGACGCGTGCGCATTATGGAAATAGGCAAAATTACTAAAATCCTAGTCAATTTGACTAGGATTTGCAGGGTTGTTTTTGCCAGGCTTGAATTTGTGGAATCAACCTAGCGATCCTAACCATAATGATTAGGAATCCTTATTACTTTTACTAGATTAAGATTAACTATAGAGTCATAGTTAATAATACCATCGAGATTTTTTTCGGTGTATTAATGTTTTAAAAGAGCGATAGAAGTTCCACCAAGTTCCACTCTATGATGTATATGTATGTGTGTAATATCGATAATAAAATAAAATGTTGATATGTAGCCGCGCATTTTGCACGACAGAAGGCGGGAGCGAGATTTGTCTATGCATTCGGTCAATCCCTTTTTTTAGTTTTATTATAAATACGAAAAGTTTGAGCCTAATTTTATTAGTCTTTATTTTTCTTTTAGAGAATAAGACTAAATGTTATATTTTTTAAAAAGTGAAAATACTCTACATTTATTGTAATGAGCTCAACGACTGGAAAAATTGCTATTATAATAAACAGAAGGACTCTTTGAATCTTAGTTTTATTTTATTTTTTCGACATTTTTTTCGTAAAACGTGACAAAAATAGGCTGAAAAATTTGTGGTTTTTGAGGGGTTATCGCCAACTTTAAAATGCTCTAACTTTGTCCCTAATTATCCGTTTTGACTCAGACTTGGTTCGCCAGGCTCGTGAGGACTTTCTGCAATGAACCCTCTTTGTGCGAATTTTGTAAAACAAATTTTTATTCCTTTTTTTTGCAAAAAACCTTTTTAAAAATCGGTGTTTTTTCAATAGTCAAAATTTAAATTGCTCTAACTTTCTCCCTAATTATCCAATTCTGCCCAATTTTTTGGATTTACACTCCAGAAGAGTATATAAACTTAGAACTATAAGGGCGTCATGAAGAAAAAATTTTTTGCATTTTTTTTCTTGCTAAATTTGCACACATATTTTTTCTTTTTAATAAATTTTTTGGAATTTTTGCTCTAACTTTGTCCCTAATTACCACATTCGGCTCATTTTTTTCCTACACACTTCTGATTTGTTTAGAAAGCCAAATTTTTTTCGGCAACGTGAAAAAAAATTTTTTTCTTAATTTTTATCAACTTTGAAAAAAATTTTTCAAAACTTTTTTTTTATTCTAAAATCACTTCTGGTGAGTCCCAGAGATGCTCCAGTTCAAAGGATTTTAAAAAATATCATTTAGGTAAAAAAAAAAAAATTTCGGAAAAATTTCGAAAAATGACGTCATAACTGTCAAAATTGCCCAGAAATGGGTCCTTGATCAGGCCATTTTTGAAATGCAAAAATGCACTTAACGTATACCCATCTTTAAATTGCTATAACTTTTTTTCTAATTATCCGATTCGGCTGAGCCTACATTTTTCTGACTCGTTAGGAGTTTCTGAAAAAAATTTCTTTTGGGGAAAATTCTGTAAACACATTTTTTAAGGAGTTTTTTTGTAAAACATGCCAAAAATTGGCGTTTTTTCAACCCTTAAATTTTCGGTTGTTTTGGAGCGTTTTTTGGACACTTCGCCATTTTTAAATTGCTATAACTTTTTTTCTAATCATCTGTTTTGACTCAGCCCACGTTTTTCTGACTCGTTAGGACTTTCTGCAAAGAACCCTTTTTGTGCGAATAAAGAAAAAATATTTTTTTCGACTTTTTTTTGTAAAACGTGACAAAAATAGGCTGAAAAATTTGCGGTTTTTGAGGGGTTTTCGCCAACTTTAAAATGCTCTAACTTTGTCCCTAATTATCCGTTTTGACTCAGACTTGGTTCGCCAGGCTCGTGAGGACTTTCTGCAATGAACCCTCTTTGTGCGAATTCTGTAAAACAAATTTTTATTCCTTTTTTTTGCAAAAAACCTTTTTAAAAATTTTTTTTTTTTCAATAGTCAAAATTTAAATTGCTCTAACTTTCTCCCTAATTATCCAATTCTGCCCAATTTTTTGGATTTACACTCCAGAAGAGTATATAAACTTAGAACTATAAGGGCGTCATGAAGAAAAAATTTTTTGCATTTTTTTTCTTGCTAAATTTGCACACATATTTTTTCTTTTTAATAAATTTTTTGGAATTTTTGCTCTAACTTTGTCCCTAATTACCACATTCGGCTCATTTTTTTCCTACACACTTCTGATTTGTTTAGAAAGCCAAATTTTTTTCGGCAACGTGAAAAAAAATTTTTTTCTTAATTTTTATCAACTTTGAAAAAAATTTTTCAAAACTTTTTTTTATTCTAAAATCACTTCTGGTGAGTCCCAGAGATGCTCCAGTTCAAAGGATTTTAAAAAATATCATTTAGGTAAAAAAAAAAAAATTTCGGAAAAATTTCGAAAAATGACGTCATAACTGTCAAAATTGCCCAGAAATGGGTCCTTGATCAGGCCATTTTTGAAATGCAAAAATGCACTTAACGTATACCCATCTTTAAATTGCTATAACTTTTTTTCTAATTATCCGATTCGGCTGAGCCTACATTTTTCTGACTCGTTAGGAGTTTCTGAAAAAAATTTCTTTTGGGGAAAATTCTGTAAACACATTTTTTAAGGAGTTTTTTTGTAAAACATGCCAAAAATTGGCGTTTTTTCAACCCTTAAATTTTCGGTTGTTTTGGAGCGTTTTTTGGACACTTCGCCATTTTTAAATTGCTATAACTTTTTTTCTAATCATCTGTTTTGACTCAGCCCACGTTTTTCTGACTCGTTAGGACTTTCTGCAAAGAACCCTTTTTGTGCGAATAAAGAAAAAATATTTTTTTCGACTTTTTTTTGTAAAACGTGACAAAAATAGGCTGAAAAATTTGCGGTTTTTGAGGGGTTTTCGCCAACTTTAAAATGCTCTAACTTTGTCCCTAATTATCCGTTTTGACTCAGACTTGGTTCGCCAGGCTCGTGAGGACTTTCTGCAATGAACCCTCTTTGTGCGAATTCTGTAAAACAAATTTTTATTCCTTTTTTTTGCAAAAAACCTTTTTAAAAATTTTTTTTTTTTCAATAGTCAAAATTTA